GTGCCGCAAATTTTCTTTAAATAAGAAATGGATCAGAGTAGGAAACATTTTACTATTTTCCACAGGCAACATCAAATGTTCTAGCAAAAAATTGTAAGAATTTGGACTATATTTGAGTGAGTAAAAACTCACCTTTGACCTAAACCTAGATATCTCTTTTATTAAATTATTACAAATCAAGTTTAACCCTAACGAGATTTAGATCTTGATATCATGTCATTATACACATTAAATGATTTAATTCCCACACCCTTGGATCTTGAATAACAATTCTTAACAATGGCGAGATTCTCAATATTACGTAATTTTCATACCTAGAAAGTCAATCACCAAAGTAAACACTTTATAGGTATACCCAAACTTAAGGATAAAAAAGAATCAAGGTCAATAATCTAAACATAATATATATATATATATATATATATAATTTTACGTTATTACCAACTAATATGTTCTTATCATACTCTCACTTTAAGATTTTAACATGACTACAAAAAATTCATCGAGTTTACTTTGTAATTTCTTTCCTTCCATATTTATCCTTACATGATGTCATAACATATAAGGTGTTGGAAACGTTACAAAAAGTAATATAGAGGTCAAAATAATTGTTCCACTCAACTATATGTTACTTATTACTCATGTATTGGATGAAAGCGGTTGCCATGATCGAAGAGCGGAAATGGATTGGAAAATTGTAGAGATCAAAGGGAGAGAAAGGGGGAATACAAGAAGAAAAAGAGGTTGGATGAAGAAGAATGGTGAAACAACATACTTAAAAAAGATAAAATTAAATATATGATATAAATTAAATTTATGTCGAATTATATGAGATCTGGCATAAAGAGTTGATTTTAATTTAAAAAATACTACAACATTTTTTATTACATTGAATACTGACTAATACGATAAAGAGAAAATTTAACATAAAAATCATATTTTACACTAATAAAATTTACTTTTAAATTTATATTATTTATAGAGTTTAAGATTACATTAATTATCTTTTCTCCAATTATGTCTCCATCTTTTTAATTATATTTATTATATAGATAAGATAATATATAATTAAAAATATTTTTGAAGAAAAAATATTAAGATAATAAGGATATTAATAAAAAAATTAACAGATTTATTAAAAATAATGAAAGTTAATACATACTTGAATCTATATAATTCAATGTAAAAAATTATATATTTTAAAATAAATAAAATAATAAAAAGAAGTAGTAATCAGATAAAAATAGAAAATATAATTCATACTAATTTCAAAATGTTGAAAAAACTTCGTTGGGCTATGTCCTAGATTGCCCCTCGCCCTATATCCATGTTTTTCTCTCACCTTCTTCTCACAGCTTAGGTGCGTGCAGAGTACACATAGGGACATGCAAACGCACACATACATAGAAAATGGAAATGATAAAACCAAGACATTGACCACCGCGTGTAGTAACTTTAGTGCCATTGTCATCAACATCTATGTCTCTACCCACAACGCCCCTAAGCACAATTATATGCAGCACAAATTTAAATATAAAAAATGAGCAACATTGTCCCGATAATATAATAATAACAATGCTTTGAGATCATCCTTAGAAATCCGAGGAATGAACTGATACTAGTAAAATATATGTCTCGTGGTCGTTTCGTCCCATCATATCAACTTCCATCATGGACTAAATTAATTCCTAAGATTTCAAGTGCTAAGAGTTGACATTTTCTATCGTAATGATGTCCATGTGTTAAACTATTAGGTCACCCACGTGTATTCTTTTCATAATTTTGAAATTAAAAAATTAGTGCCCTCTAACTTGGTGTGTTTCTCATTGGTCCCTAGTTGAATATTTCCCATAAAATACAAAAGCATTATGGAGCAAAATCTATCCTTTGACGTTTAACTGATATTTTAAATCATCCAAGATCCTCCATACATGGACATAGGAAAAGTATAAAGTGGAATTTCTTTTTTACATCTACTTGAAAGCAAGGTGATATTCTTATATTCTTAAAGCATTCACTCGTAGTGAAAAGTTTGTAGAATATAATATAGTTGGTGGGAAAATGTTAGGAGCAAAAATATAAAGTTTTGTTTTCTTTTTTCTTATTTTATTTATTAGACAACTTGATGATATATAGATAGAGACAAAATACGAGAGAACTTGTATTTCATGAGAGAGCAATTATGTGATTAAATATTTCTAATTCTAATAGTTTTTATATGCAAGTATTTTTATCCCTTCATATATCTATATATATATATATATATATATATATATATATATATATATATATATATATATATATAAATGTACTCCTTTTATTTTCTAGTACCATAATTTAGCATCTAATTTTAAACTTTAATGCAAAGTGATTTTGTGTATGTAGTCCAACTATCTATTGTAAATGTTTTTCAAATAAACAAAATGCGAACTTTGCAAGAATATTTACACAAAACTTTGTACTTTATTACGAAATGGTGTTCTGTAGGATCTTCTAATTGATGATAGAGGGCACTTAAAAACCCCATCTGATAAGCTTTTTGTACTTCTGATTTTTATGTCATGCAACTTAGAAGTCATTCACTTTGTGGTGCTGGACTAAATAACAAGTATGAGTATAGGGGAGGGCTATATAATATAAACAATGGAATCTAAATAATTCGTATCATCTAATCTCAGAGAAACATATATATCCTTATTGAGTGTGTATGTTCTATTACTCCAGCAGCATAAATAGTAAATTAAGAACACAATCTTGAAATGATATCTAGTTTAGTTAACAAAAGATCCTACGCTCTACCTACCTGCTTGCATTCTGTGTTTGGGAGGTTAAAATACAAGTGTTAAGATGAAGTAAGTAACAGCGGTAGCTGGCATGGACAAAACCATGCCACGTATTTTGGTTGTAGAAAAATATACAGTTCATCGAATTAAAAATATTATGTGGTAGCAGCTAGCTCGCTTTAATAGTTTGCGATCGAAATGTGCGGTTGGTATTGATTTAAATGATTGCATTGAAGAATGAGAATTGACTCAGAAGTTGCATGTGGAATGAGCATTATTGCATGTATAAATATGTGTTAGATCCTACATTTGGAAAGTTGCTTGTAAGTTGGACAAGGAAAGGTAGAGGGGATGAAGAGGAGCCAAGCAAGCACGTGACTCATCTTGATGATGGATTAGAAAGAAAGGAAAGTGTGGATAGATGAAGGAGACCGCTACTGGGGTCATCATGTGTTTATTGTACCGAGTTTACTCAATCCCCAAATTAGGGTCACATGAAAGTTAGACACATGACAAGAACATGAAGGAATAAAAAGAGATGATGATGATGATGTTCATGATAATATGAGATGGTTAGCTGAATCTGATATGCTTATATGCAACCTCAAATGGATAAGACAGTTTTGGGGATCTCTAAATCACTAATTCACTAGTTACTATCTCCCTCTTTTTTCCATTTCTTTCCCTAGGCACTGTAGAGGATTTGGCCTTTGTATTCACATTACTGGCACAGTGGCACATAAAGTTCATCTCTTTCTTGTCACTTCACAAGGTCCCCAACCGTATAGGAATTGGACTAACACGAGGGTCAGACAAAGATATGGAAGAGAGAGAGAGAGAACAAGAGTGAATTTTGCTAGGTGAAACTCTAGAGAAGAAAGGGGAAAAGAGGAATTGGTTGCAGGGTAACGATGAATTTATTGTCTCTTCAAAAGCCCAACAAGAAAGTATTTGTTGGTTTCTAATAAATGGGCAGAACAGGCACAGCGAGAGAGGCCTTATCAGCTTGTGTACTTTAGAGATATTTCACAAACTACGGGTCAACACTGTACAAACTTTTGCTACAAAAATATCAACACATTTTCACGACATAAATGTATGGTCTACAAACAACCACCGCAACTGGAAACTCTACTTCGTCTAATCACTCAACTCTTCACCACTTTCTTTTTCCACCAACTTAGTACTAAAAATATAATAATACAAGATTAGACCTGCAAGGAAAATTCTTGAGTAGACTTTGATCTCTCACAAACATGGTCATTAAGATTGCAGAAGGCTCTAAGGGCATGTGTTTGAAGGAGAAAAAGGGAAACCAAAAATCAAGTTACCCAGACGATCTAACTTACGTGGTGAAAATCCTTCACTTGTATTCAATCAATAAACTTCATCATTTTCTTTGACATGGACAATAATAGAGAGGGCCTAGCAATTAAAGGCTATCAATGAATCTGAAAAAGTTATAGCAGGCTTTCTGGTACTATGAAATCTTCGCCCAAAAGGAAACCAATGCATTCAATTCATCTCAAGAGCCTCAGCTTAACCAAGAAAACCATGTAAAGAAAGAACTCAGTGAAAAGCTGAATTTCACTTGAGTAATATTTCTTATGGTAAAACTTGCTTTTCAATACTTACAATAGTGTTTAAATTATACCTTTAGCCTTTATATATGTGTCAATTGAATTAACCTTTGCGTCTCGAAGTTGGATTCCAATAAAATATTATTTTTCAATCACTTCAGTTAACCAATCTCATGCACGAAACCTACTTCATGTGTACCATGCATTATCCTCGGTAGTCTTTTTTAGAAAAAGAAACGTAAGAAAAATCAGCATGATTACTTTTGCTGATCCCATTTGTGAATATACTTCATGCTTAATTGCATAATATATACGGTTAAAAGCACAACAATTATAAGCAGATAAATACACAAGAAGTAGAGAGAAGAGCCATAAACTTAATAATTATGCCATAGATTACGGGACTATATAGTAGATACTAAAGTAGCATAGTTTTATTCACAACTTGCTTGAAAAGCCACTCATGGAGAAAGGATCATAGTAGAGAAAAACACTCAAGAAACACACTCTTTGCAAAGTTACTACACGCTATTAACACAAAACATCTTTAAGACACAAAAGTCACCTGTAATATTGTCTATTTTTTTTCTTCCTCTTCTCAGTTTTTTGTCTCTAGCTTTGTTTCCTTTCCCTCTCTTTAACACATTACATCCTTGAGAAGCTTGTACCTGCGTGTGCCGGGTCGTGGCGACGGTGTGGGACTCTTCCCCTTCTCAGAACCACTCTCTTCACGATGATCATGCTGTTTGATAATTTTCTCACCGGAATATTCCGAACGGTGGGTAGCTCCGGCCTCGTTTCCGGTCACCGGTTTCTTCGAATTGGAGCCAATATGTCTCAAGTTCTTCTCCTCGCTCTGGCACCAATCGCACAGTTCTATCTCCGGTAATTCTCCGTAGTAGTTGCTACAATACCTGAAAGACAAGATTGATTAAACTTCAACAATCCTAAACATTGAAAAGTAAAAAGGTTAAAAAAAAAAAAAAAAAAAAAACCATACATGTTCTAACTGAAGCTACACATGAAGATAAAAGCTAGCATGAGTATGGGCATGATCGTGGTTTGTGTAGGATGGTTGCGAAGACAATAGAGGTGGTGTGAAAATTAAAGATGATTGTGATATGATAAAGGAAGATTGGAGTAGATGATGTGTGTGATTAAGTGAGCACGTGTGTGCGTGTGCGTGTGTGCGTGTGAGTGTGAGTGACGGGGTAAAGGGAATGGGAGTGATGATTGAGAAGGAGAAAGGGAGCATACGAGTGCTGGAAGCGATGACGGCATTTGTTACAGCGAAAAAGCTTGTCGGGGAAACCCACGTCGCCGCACATGCAGCAAACGGTTTGAAGATCCACCATTGTTTTTGGTGTGCACCGAGACGAAAAGATAAAAAAAGAAACCAATTTGAAAGGGGTGAGAGAGAAAACGGACCCAGGAAGCCAAAGAGCACACACGAACACACAGAAGAAAAGAAGAAGAAGAATATGATCACTGTGAGGAGAGAGAAAGGAGGCAGGTTAAAGAGGGGAGAGAGAAATAGAGATAGGAAGAGTCTATACTTTATATAGAGAAAGATTACCGGTGCGCACGTTGAGTCGGTGTGTGAAACTGATATATAAATTATTTTTCATTTATAAAATGAAGAAAAAATTCTATTGGATCTTCTCTCGCACTTATATCTCTTAATTAAATGTTACAAGATTCGAATTTTGATGATGAAAAAAATACCATAATTATAACCTAAAGAGAGAAATAGAAAAATATTGATTCACAGGTAGACCACAGGTTGCTCGCAGTCATTTTCAGTTAGGGCAGGCAGCCATGGAGAGAGAGAAAGAGTGCGTGGAAAAGACAGTTATGACCCATCGCTGAGGTTGTTTGATTATCATTTCTTACCTATCTTTTATGTATTTCTTTCTTTCCTTTTCATCAGCTTTTGTCCGGTTTCTGGATTTTGGAATTGGCAGATAAAATTGGTAAGTTCGTCACCAGAGGCTGTACCCATGTCATCACCCTTTCACTCCCACGCAAATCACCGTTTCGATAACTACCGATGCAACCCAAACCAACACTTTATTATTAGTAATAATCATAGGACCCAAGATTTAACACGTTCACAACTTTCCCATGCCTATATTTCACTCCACTTCCACTTATTAATATATTTTTTAAAAATAAAATGTCACAAACAAATTTTCAATATTTTACCTAACCAATATACAATGACATGGATGCTAAGTGGATGTTTTTTGCTACATCTAAAAATAAAAATAAAAAAATTGAAGTCCCTTTGGGTTTATCATCTTTACTTTAACGTATCTTCTTCACTCTAACATTTGGTAGACTTCCTTAGTAATCGAAAAGAAATTTCATGACATGGAGATAATAATAATTTTTTTACATAAATATGTCATTATTTCATTTCATTTTATTCCCTTCCGATACACTCAATTCTGGGATACGTCTCTTGGTTGAATTGAATCGATTAATTATAGTCCACAAGCTAAAACAACAATCAACCAAATCATATTAAGATGTGTAATCTGGTGTGGATTTAAAATAATATAAAATATAAGGTTAATTATGATTGAACAAAATAAACGGGATTTTATGTGTCTTCTAATGAGTGATGAAAGATAGAACAAAAAAAAAAAAAAAAATCATCTCCAACTACTTGGATATGTGAATGGCGACAGCCATATCCGCAAATCCCCAACAACAGACAATTACCTGGGAATCTTGGAACCCAAATTCCATCACAGTCAGTACATCCACCTTGTCTTGAGAAGGACAATTTGCAAACACCAACTATTTTCACAATGCATAAAACTTTCACAAAATTTTACCTCTTCTAATTATACACTTTGTTAAATTTGTATCAACTATAATTTTCTTTTATAATAAATTTTATTAAGATTACTTTTTATATCATATTTGATATAGCCAAATATAATCTACATCTCAATTATATATTATAAAATAATTACATATTTTATATATAAATTTTATATAAGAGTCAATAAAAAATACAATATCATAAATAAATAAAAATAGAGTAAGAATCAAGAAAAAACAAGTTAAGACATAAATAACTCTTTTTTCTAATAACATTTAAAGCTTCAATTTCAGACATAATATGTTCATTGATCTAAAATACTCTGTATATATATTTATAGACATTTGATTTACACCTTTGGATTGGGTTGGAGGTGAGTTTGCAAATAAAACGACCCATGACGACGATTTTCATATGTATAGTCGGAGACAGAGGAATGGGAAATTTCGAATCCTTTAATTCTGGCGCTGACTTGAAGGAGTTGAAGAAAACAACTTGATTACTAATTAATGACGTGATTAAACAAAATTCATAGTTGAAATAAAACGTATTAAAGGTTTGTACATATGGTGGAGTGGAGTTGAGGTAAACGCTTTAACTCTTTTGGATTTTGTTTAAGCGCAATTCTTTAATCATAGTGGACGACTTGGAAACCATGGCGTGCCAGATTCAATTAGTTAATAAGAAGAAATTGGCGCGTGTGTCTCGTCTCGTCATATTTGGCATGGTTTTTCAAAATTCAATTAAAATTTAAATACATGTCTGCAAAAATCGACTTTCAAATTTTTAAAATGGAGAAATTAATTCGTTTTGAAGTAAGCAACGTAGATTTGTTTGATTCTGAATGAAAAAAAAATAAAATAAAAATAAAAAGGGGGAAAAGCACTGAGGCATATATGAGGCAACAATAGATGCTCCATCCAAGAAGGTGGAGAGTTCCATAAACTTAACTCAGCATTGGATGCCCCTTTCTTGGCCCCCAAATAATCTCCAACTTTGCCTCTCTCGCTAAGATAAGAGAATATAAATATATAATAATTATATAAAAATATTAATATAAGGATAGAGTTTTTTATTTAATATTATTAAATTGAAAGATAAATGTTTCTTTCGTGTTGAGCAAGTGAAACCAAATTGCTCTCAAAATTGCCTCAGAATACATGCGAATCATTGGAAAGAAAATACAAATTAGGATTTGGCAACACCACCAACCAAACACGTATACACAATTACTAGTGTAAATGATTGGATAATCACAAGTATTACATAATAACAAGTTGAACAACATATTAAAAAAGAAAAAAACACCATTTATTATTCAAAAATGTTGGGTTCAAAATGGTATAAATAGCTTATGTTATATTTTTCCTAATGAATTGTTCTAAAAAAAAAAAGATGACTGCATTCTCGTTATTTTCCTTTCTTAATTCAAATAAGATATTTAAATAAAATTTGTAGGTTATATTTAATGTTTTTAAAATCAAGTCCAATAAAGATACAAAGTTAAGATTTAAAGATATAATCAAATCTAATCGAAATTAATAAATTTATATTTTTATAATATAAGAATAAATTTATTAATTAGTATAATTTTTAAAAAATAAAAAAATTATTATTATGATTATCCTAAATTATAAATTATAAATATAAAATATATATTAAAAAGTGTAAAATAAATAATAATTAAAATAAATAATTATTATTTAAATTTAATTAATTATCTTAGTTTTATCGTTTTCTTAATTTTATATTAATTTCATTAAAATTTGAATATTTAAGATAATAAATCGGTCGTTATACCCATTTTTTTATTGTATCGATTAAATCAATGGATTCAATCTGGTTTTTAAAATAGTATTTATAATTATATTATCTGGTTTAAATGTAATTATCTTCTATGGAGAATTTTTGTAATTATCATAATTGGGTTGTACATGGAACACATGTGAATAATCAAAGAGAAATCTTACTTTTCCAAACAAGATTCATGAACTGGGTCTCGAATCGATAAAGTGACCAACAATGTACAATTTTCGTATAATTTCATTACAAATAACATCATCGTTTAAGTCACGTCAATTCTAAGTTCATTATATTACACTTTTTATTTAGCATTTCTTTAAATTAAATTATGTGCATAAATTCTGAAGAGGACGAAATCAAACAGACGAGTTCCTCGTTAAAAAAAAAAATTGGCTTAAACTAGTTTTGTCTTATAATTTTAAATGTAAAATTTTGGTTGTTATAATTTTTTTTAATAATACATTTGATTTTTTTTTTCTACTTAGACTAGATAAAAATGAATAGTCTAATCCCACTTATATTTAAAAATGAATCATAATTTTTTTAATCATCCTATATTACCGAACTTTCGTACGGACCTCCACCAGGACCACTCTGTTCTCCCTCGTATACGGCATGGAGGTTGTATTGTCAGTCGAAGTCGAAATACCCTCCTTAAGAGTCATTATGGAAGCAAAGATAACCGAAGCAGAATGGATCTAGAATCGGTACGACCAACTTAATCTGATCGAAGAAAAACGGCTGGACGCTATATGTTATGAGCAAGCCTACCAAAAGAAGATCAAGAAGGCCTATTATAAGAAGATCAATCTCTGCACTTTTCAAGAAGGGGATTTGGTAATAAAGAAACTGTTTTCCGCCCAGAAGAACAAACTTGGAAAATGGGTAGCAAACTACGAAGGACTTTGTGGTCAAACGAGTTTTCTCAGGAGGAGTCTTTATCCTCACTAACATGGACTGAGAAGAACTTCAGTACCCGGTCAACTCAGACGCGGTAAAGAAGTATTACGCTTGAAGGAATTGCTCATGACCTATCAGGACAAAAACTAGCAAAGAGTGTCCTGAGCAAAATATAGGGTTCATATTTCTTGCTAGGACACGTCCTAGGCAAAAATTAGAGGTAAAAAAAAAAATCAAAAAACAACAAAAAGAGCAATGATTACCTTAGCTGAAAACCGTAAGACGACTAAGGTAGTGTCTTTCCAGAAGCAAGCAAGCTCTGCATAGTTTTCACTCCGGGTTCGAGCATCTCAACTGAAACGACTAGGAGAACCAGAGAGGCAGATGTTAGGGACATGATTGTTATAGCTTATACAGTGTAGCCAACCTTAGCCAGTCATGCTTCTAAATCACTTTGTAAATTATTCTGTAAAAAAATAATAATAAACCATTTATTTTTATCAATAATATTGTCTTTTACTTCTTTTCTCTTGACCAAAATTATGAAAATGCCTTTGTATTAATGAAACATGAGCATGCATAAAGAACCAATATGAGAAAGCATAAGAAAAGAAAATAAAAAGAATGATGCCCGCTCTGCTAGGAGATTCTTAGGAAAAAATTAGGCAGTTAGTTAGATCGAAAACCCGTAAAGAGCGGTTTAGGCAAAATTTAAGGCACTCATAGAAAAGAAAAAGTCCGCTAAGATATCCTAGGCAAGATTAAAGCCGTCCACTAGATCGAAAACCCCAAAATGGCAGTCTAGGTAAAAGATAAGGC